GCAGGTGGATGGTGAGTGACCAGCAGATTGAGTAAGATGGCTCTTTACCTCCTTATCTACCCACGCCGGGAGACAAACTCTGCAAACGCACCTTTGAATTCTAGGTCTGCACTGACTAAGGGCAGCAAATCTGAGTGGGGGGCAGAGAAGGGTTGAGCACGTGAAGGGGACATTTATATTGCAGGACTTAAGAACCTGAGAGGTAAAGAACATTGCCCAACCTACTTGGAATAGGATTGTCACTTATGGTTTTGGTTATGAACTCTATGGTGTTTTCCCAAATTAATTACTTCCCTCCCCTTTTATTAAAAATCTCTTTTTCTACACCCATACTCTGTGTTTGTGAGTGGGGAAACATTGCCTCTCAGAGGCACCCAGAAGTGTTGTGTGAACTTCCCAGGTTACTAGTGTCGCGAGAATCACAGGTCCGATGATAAATACCCAAGGGGGGAAGGACAGAACCAGGTGGACAGTTTTATCAAATAAAAAATATTTATTTATGACAATGGTGAATTTATAGTATTTATTCTAAGATTTTTAATAGACCGTGTTAATAATGAATTTACAGTATTTATTATATTTATTCTATGATTTCTAGTTAAACGTGTCAGAGATATAAGGATGGGAACGGCGCTACACTAATTAAATAACAGTGATAACCACAAACTCTATGTACTACCCAAAACAACTACAACACTACGCTTATACAACAAGAAAAAATCAAATCATACATACCAACTTACATGCAAGTTTGCTTTCAATGAAAACATCCACAAAGAGAAAGGAAAGACTATTTTTTAAGCAAGTTAGTTTATACAAAAGTATTTGTATAGCATGGTAATAGAGTTATTCCTGTGCTGATATACAAAGAGTGAGGCAGAAAGCATACAAAATCTTTATTCCCCTTTGCAACCAATAGCATAAACAAGTGCACTAAGAGATGAGTCTAATCAGCCTGTGCAACATGTCCCCATGGGCTTATGGTCAGTGAATCAAGGGTCCGTCTATCCCAACCTCCATCCCTCAGTGGCTATCAGGTATGTTGCAGTTGAAAATACTGGTTGACAGTAAGTAGGAGCATAATTGGCTTCTGCTCTCAGACTTTGTCTACACTACCGCTTATGTGGATGTAACATATGTTGCTCAAGGCAAAAGGACACAGACTGACTCTTTTAGATATGGCCTATTTAGGAGACCATATATTGATTACTTAAGCATTCCCAGTTGTCACTGAGGGTTGGTAGGTTCTTGTCCCAGCATTAGGCCCAGTATTATGTGCAGAGTTGCAATACTCAGACTGTAGCAATCCTTCTATGTTACAATAGTTTATTGCTACATTTAGCAAATCACAAACATTCTAACTCAGTAAGGTAGATACAGATAATACAGCGTGTACATCTGAGCATTCATATAATCATGCCAGCCCTTGCAGAACAACCTGAAATGTTAGTCACTGTCTTCTTCCTCATCACTATCATTCTGGCCCTAAAGGCAACATCTCTCTCCTCCCACTGCCACCTGGGATACAACTTTTATAATATGTTAGGCTCAGGCTACTCTGTCTAAAGCATATTCAGTAGAGGTTTCTTTCCCCTTCCTTATTTGTATTTCTTCACCCTATTAATGTTGTGATGCCTTTCTCCTATAGGTTAGTGTATAGATTCTCAGCTTATCATATCTGACAATTTGTAGCCATAGCACTTTTGTGGTCAGACAGCTGCATGTTAGCTGGTTGGCTGGTGTTGTGGTAAATTGCAACAAAAATCCCCCATACCCAATTTTTTCTCAGTTCCCCAAAATTTGGAAGTTTCTGTTGAACAGTTTATCTGTGCCAAATGTAACTTGCTTCCTGTGAAATCCTGCTGACGCTAATGTCTTACCAGCTATGGATATG